CAGAGGGTTAGTAAAGATGTTAGAATTACACTAGATCAGTACCCACACAACCTCAAAAACTAAGGACTTGCTAGAATATACCTCGGTTCAATCCTTCTACATTTGCTTTTGAAAGATGCTGTCCGTCTGGTAGGAATCTCTTTGCTTATCAGTTACACTTGCAGATTATCAAGGCCATAATCCATTGCCTGAAAAATCAAAGTGAGACTGTTTAAAAACATAAAATAAATCAGACTGTAAAATGCCACATATGTTTGTGTATTTTTAGCCTTGTAGAGGACCAAGAAAATCGTGCTGAAGCCCTGAGACGTTGGGGTCTAGCATCTTTGTTAGACTGGTGGATGTGTTGTTGAAGGAGATGAACGGAAGGAGCTGGAGAGCCTTTTTTGTTGCCTTGGTGGACAAAACAGTGCAAAACTTCTGGTGGCTTTAACTGGTACCACACAACTGTGATCACCCTGTGCCGCCGTCAAAGCTTGCAAAGAGTTTAGGAACATCTTTTAATAGCAGTAGGAACAGTACTTGTCCGAGCAGACAACACAAAAGCAAGCACGCTCACTCTTTTGCCTTTGGGTAGCCTGGTTATGTCAGTGAAGAGACGGCCTCTTGATTAAATCCAGACCGAGCTGTTTCCTGTGAGCACACTAACTCAGCCCACAGTGTCTTATGCCGAAAGCCTGTTCTCGAGCTCGCCTGCCAAGTCCCTTTTCCTTTTAAACTTACAGGCAGAATTGCCAAGATAATACAAATACAAACAATCCCTAAAAGTCTCTTCAAATGAGTTCTAGCAGTTTAATGTTTCGCTGACAAATCCAGCTTTAGATTTTCAGGGTTTGGGGTTGTTTTTTTGTTTTGCTTTGCTATTTTATTTTTTTTAACATTCTCTCAAAGTGATGTCTTGGGGAATTTGCACTGTTGCAATTAATGGAAAATTTTGTGTGTGTATCAGTCTTCGCAGCAGATTCTGCCCGTGTTTGGTACATGGTGACATCTGTGAATGAGAAGTTTTTACACACTGGGTAGAATATGGCTGTAAGTCAATACATCAGGAGTGGGGCAATCTTCTGGAGAGAAAATTAATAGTTAAATACAGTACTGCAGACATTTTTTCCCTGTTTGAAAGTGGTTGCATTGTGTAACTAGTTATTTTCAAAAGTATATTTTAACTGTAAGATGAAAAGTCAGCAAGAAAATTTAATATGTTTTTTCCAAGCAAGTTTTGCTTAGGGAAAATCTGAATGGAGGAGATATATAGCGGTGGTAACAACATAGCCTTTTAGCGTTTGTGTAATGGTGTGTGTAACACTACATACACCTTTAAGTCAGGCATATAACAAATTATACACCCTTAAAGCAGCCATAAGGTCCACGGAACAAAATTTTGCAAGTTACTCTGGTGTAATCCCGCTCGTTGCCGTGGGGTGCCTTGGGGCAGCAGTGGGGTTAGGGGCAGCAGTACTGTGCATTGCCTTGCCTATTTCTAAAAGGCGTTACTGGGCTCATGACACGAGCCCAAGGTACCCGGTCTGTAATTTCAGTCTGCTTGAACAGATGTAAACCTGCATTACTTCTAGGAATTGTCTTACACCTTGCCCCCGAGCTTGCTGTCCCTGTGTCCACCCGTGTGTTTCTGCAGTCATGGGGTAAGCAAGGTTGGGCACCTCGTCTGCGTTAAACCTGGTCCACCAAGGGAAGCGCAGGGCTCGCCTCCGGCTGGACTGCTTTCCTCAGCCTGGTTTGTTGCAGCAGGTGGGCAGAAAAGGGCCTCTGGGAATGGCTTCTTTCAGTGGTGTAAACTCAACATGCAGCAGTGGTGTTTTGCAGCTGCGATGTGGCTGTGAGCTTCCTGAGACCTCTGCTTACCTGCTGCGTCTAGCCTCGTTAGTCTGCTGACAGGTCCTTGTGTCTTGAGCCTGTGAGATGCTCCTGGCTCTTCCAGGGCTTCCTACAGACACGGAGGCACCTCCCTGCCAAAAAATCTGTGCCTCGGCCCACTGCTCGTTAGAAAGTCCAGAACATTGTAGGGTACTGCTATTATTCCTATTTTTGCTTTCCTGTCTAGTCTGGGTTTTTTAAATACAGACAGCAGGTTGTGTTTTAATGTAACAGCAAGAATTTGTTGGACCTCATTAAGCTGGGATGAGATGTCCTCGTGCAAGAGTAGCAGAGCTTTAGAATAATATTAGACATCTATATTGTTTGAAAGAAAAAGGGATATCTGTTACAAATAATTCAAAAGCAATGAAATGTAGCGATGTGAATATGAAGTGGGTGGATTATCTGTTCTTGAATATTTTATGAATAGGTGAATTTTTTTCTTTGTGATTTGTCAATATACCAAGCCAGAGTCATTAGTGACTGTAAGTTACTAAATTAACAGGTTGTCTTCACGTCCTCAGTCTAGTACCAAGGTGTTGTGTTAACGCTGGAATATGGTTAGCCTTGGTTTTTCCAACTCATACCCTAGTAGACACTTTCTGGAGCAGAACTTCTTGTTGCAATTACCACGTGTCTAGTGGTGTTTCGTCAGGATGAATTTGAGATGTGTTATCAAGGAACCATAGAGAAACCCAAAATATGGATTGTATCGTTTCTTAGGGGAGTCTCTTAATGTGTATAAATGCTAACTCAATATTCAAAACACAGAAGAGCTGTTAAATTATAAAATATTACTGTAAGGCTGGGAAATCTGAGCTAATGATACACTGTTAGTGTATGGTGTTGTGATATGGCAGAAGCCGTGACCCCGGAGGGGAAGGTTATGATTCAGAAGAGAACCATCAGAGCAGTCCCAGCTGAAAGCTTGCTCTGAGTGCATATGTGAGGAGGAAATCTGCAGCGGAATAATGCTGCAAGGCAAACGGGTTGGACTCATTATATTTATAATATAATTGGACTCCTCTATTTATAATCCCATTTTAAAAGTTTTTTATCACACCTGCTTAACAAATAAATATTTAAACTAGTCACAAAAATATTTTTCTGAACTGTCCTCTGAATAGTGGCAGAATTTAAGTGAATATTTCTAGTCATTTCAGACTTAAAGCAGGCTGCAAGCATTAAACCAAATGCTGCTTACAAAACCCACACACCCCCAACACAAAACCCCAGATTTGTTGACAAATATTGTGCCCAATGGATACCGTAAGAGAAATTTGAAATGTTATAATGGCACATTTGCAAGATGGTTTTAACACCCTCCTTGCAAAAGTGTCATGAAATGTTTCGCATCCAAACATGTTCCTAACCTTAGGTTGTGTGTGGCAAACCCAAAGTCGGCCTTTTCACTAGTGCTGCTGCTAAAGTTGTGGTCAGTTTTCATGTTTATTCAGAAGTGAAGTAAGACCCTGTATTACCACTATTGGTCTCTCTAGTACTATTATTCTTTGTGGGCTAATGGATTTTCTTTTAGGTAATAATATGTGACGAGATCATAAGACAACTTCATAGCAGTCAGACTAGAAAATATTTTGTGGAGCATGTCAGAGAAATTTCTTTAAGATAACCTTACTAAAAAACTTATTTGCTTATTTGATACAGCATTTGGTGTTTGGAGAGCCAACACTGACAAAATCAATTAGTAACTAAAGATGGACCATTCCTGTGAGAAAATGGAAATGAACCTGTGTTTCATTGTGACAGCTGTGTCGGGGATCTGGCTTCTGGCTGACTTTTGTGCTTTGTTTTTGTTTCAACTTCGTAGGGTGAAGGGGACCAGTTACCCCCAGAACATACCGTCAGCCAGCACGAAACATGCAAGATCAGGACTATAAAAGCTGGAACTTTGGAGAAACTTGTGGAGAACCTTCTGACAGCCTTTGGGGATAATGATTTTACCTACATCAGTATCTTTCTCTCAACATACAGGGCCTTTGCTTCTACTAAGGAAGTACTGGAACTTCTCCTTGACAGGTAAGAGCCAGTATATAACGGAAACTGAGCCACCAGTTACATGATAGGGGGATGCAGTCAGGAATTTCTTCCATTACTTTTAGTGGAGATGGGCAGATGTCAAGAATACCGCAAAATTCAGAATTTCAGCATAAACATAAAATGTCTGAATGCATGCTGCCCACATCCCAACTCTCATTAAAGCATAGTCACCAGGCAGGG